TCTCCTGTACATGCAGAAGCAAGGATAACATGAGAAAAGGTATCAATACAAACATGCACATAGCAAAGTTTGCCAAAATATGGGACATGAGTAATATCCATCTGCCATAAGTCACAGGGTCTAAGTCCTCTTGGATTAACTCCAGTAGCAGGGCTAGTAAAATGAGTAGGACAATGGCCGCAGTATCTCCGAAAGCATGTCTTTGTCTCAGTCCCTTTCTGACATTTGATTTCCTATTAGACACTGAGACTTTTTTCTAGTTAAATATTCCCATTTCTATAAAGCACTTGCAAGTAAAGGCTTCCTAGCAGGAGTATTGAATGAGGACTATGGTTTGAGAGCTTCTGGTGTTGGAGGCACAATTTCCCATGTTATTTTTTATTTATTTTATTTTTGGATATCTTTAATATTAGAAATAAGGTAAGCCCCCCAAGTCAGGGGTCCTGGTAAAACACAAAACATACTTGGGAGCCAGGTAGCAAGGCAAACATCTTTACTTCTACATAGAAGGGTGAGCGCACATGGTCTGGAAGCACAGGCAAAATGAGCAGGTAGTCTGCTTGGCTTTATAATCCCTGATGCACGTGACCCGTCCCTCACTCTTGATTGGAGCTCAGGCACACAGTCTTTCGAGATTGGCTAAATCAAAGGGAGGGGTTGGCCTTTTGCTGTTTCAAGATGGCAGCACCCAAGGGAGCTGCAAGCCATGTGACCAACATGGTGGCTGCCAAATCACACAGTCCAAAATGGCAGATGTCTAAACTGTTCTTTGACAGAAAAGATGACTTGTTTATTCTCACAATCTCCCCCTTTTCTTTATTTAAATTCCTTTCTTCAAACTCGGCCGACATTCATTAACTTTCATGCTCTACAGTGTCTAGGGAAAGACTAATTTGCTGTTTGGTCAATGCAGTTTCAATTAACCCTTGGATAAGTCCCCTCACTCCTCCCCATACATGGGATGATGTGATGTAACATCCTATCACTGTAACTTCTAATTAAAGGGGTGAAGTGGACACCATTGCTCTAGTGCATCAGAGGAAGGACCCTCGATCCCAGGTTCTAGCTCACTTGACACTAAAACTGCCAATGCCTTAGGACCTCAGTGATGGTTAGTCTGCTATGTTGTCAGGATGAATGTGCAGCACTGGCTCCAAACATTACACATCTACCTCCTGACTGTTCTCCCAGGTCACCCTGCTGCTGGCATCTAGCAGTTCACCATCTCTTTTGCTGCATCTCAAGTGTAGTTAATGAGCCTTTGCTGGTTCTAGAAAATATAATTAACCCACCACATTCTTGTTTACAGTGGGTCACCAGCACAGAACAGACTCAAACCCTGTGGCTATCTAATTTCTAGCCTTAAAATCGGCACTCCTCCTCCTGGAACCCCAATGGGATCTGTGTGTATATGGGGATCAAAGAGCCCCCCTGGACTCTCTCTCCTCTTCCTAGTCTGTCTGTCCATGGAAAAAGGTTTACAATGTGCCAAAGGGAACGGGATAGCCAATTGTATCAAAGCGCAAGTTCTACTCCAAATGCTGGGCAGGGCCACAAGACAGGGTCCCCCATGACACCACCAGACATCAGCACTGGCTATTGATAGTGCAGCATAATGGGCTTCTGAGGATACTCAGCCATTTATGCATCTGGATACATTTCTTATAAACTCTAAGCACTGTTCCACCCCTTGAGAGGCAGGAGGTATAGTTTACATTGAAGGATGAGCTGGATCATTTTTTCAGGGGTTGGGAGGATCCTAGCTCTTTACCTCTGTTGAATGGGAACAATAGGGCAAGAGTCTTACAGGAAGTGTTTCCCCAGGTGGTTTCCTCCTGGTACAAGGTTACACATTCCATTACTGTCTGAGGTCCATCTGAATAGGAATGGGACCACTTGGGCCTCTAGCCTTCATGCCACACAAACGTAACAGACACTTTTATTCAGGATGTGTACAGAATATTTAATCCATTCCACCCAGGCATTTGTTCCCTTATATCCTACTTCTATTTGCATGGTGGTGGCAGCGGCCTAAGGGATCTTGTTCTGTGACATCTATTCCTAAATCTCGTCCTAGCCAATATTTTGATCTAAAGGCTAAAATATCCAAGTCATTCAAGTTATCTATAACCAATAACTTAACTAGGTAAGCATGATCCAGATTGTATACCTTTCTCCAGCCCACATTGTAAGCCCCTGCCATTTGCCAGATTCCTTAAGCAAATAGAGCTCAGTACATGATGTTTATTAAGACAGCTCACAGTTTTTAGCATCAGTTTCAAGGGGATATGCCTTGGTATGACTGTTCAGGTTGAGGTATATCCGCTTAACCTGTGTGTTATGGGTCCAACCTCTCACTGCAGTCTGAACAGCAGTCTCTGTGGTAAGCAAGACAGGTAGGGTCCTTCCCAGGAGGGTGCCAACTTGCTTCCCTTCCAAATATTGATTAGAACAAATGTAGTTTTTGGTGGATGGTGATGAACTGGAAACTCAATAGGGCCTTGGGTCAGGAGGCCTTCTAACCTGAGAGAGATTAAAGTAGAAGAGATACCCAGTACATAGTTAAGAAATTGGTCCCTAGTTTGCATTGTAGGAAGACCTTGAGGCATTCCAAGGTCTATTGGAATCACCTACAGCCAACTCTAGGTAAAAACAAACAAACAAACAAAAAACAAAACAAACAAACAACTTTTTTTTTAAAATTCAAACTCTAGGAAGGTTGTCAAGCTTGATTTTACCAAAAGATTATATATTACTAATTGGATTTCTGCTATCAGTCTCCTTGAGTACTTTGGCATAAGCTATTTATCCTCTGTTTAGAGAGGCAAATGCAAATCATTGACATTTTAATGTTCTTGGTTTAGGGAAGACAAGAGTTTTCTAGATGGTTGCAAACTGTTTAAATATCTCAGTTGCCCTGTTCTGCTTGTTCACGATTACTGGCCTGTATCATTTAATTAATTTCCTTTTAACATTTCTCTTTTCCTTCTTATCACATACACAACCTTCACAAATTTCACACTTTCAAATTAGCCTTCAAACCTTCTTTCTGTGTCCTTAAAAAATGCATCATCATGCTTCAGTCCTTCCATTAAGTATAATTCTTCACTTTTAGAAACCTTAATTTTTTAATGACTAAAAAATGTAAACAGTCAGCATTTCTTAGATTAACATTTATGAACACACTTTAAACACACTCTTACTTTCAAGAAAATATACCTTCAACAAAGAGTTGCAGAAGATCAAAGAAATACCAAGCACACTTCCTAGAGAAAGGGAGGGACCCCGTTTATTAACACTAGAGGACTCCAGGAATAATTTCTAAATCACAGTGAAGTAACACACAGAGGGCTTCACTTTTTATAACCTTCTGGGGTCTTTGTCTTGCAGATATGGTTCCACCCCCTTTCATGGGCTTACAGGAAGGCCCCCAGGTGTTGGAGGTCCTGGGGCCATTGATAATGACCTTCCCCTCCTCCCCCCAGGGCAGTGCATTGTTCACAGTTTTTATGGCCTGACACGCCTTGCAAAACCAGTTTCCTCCTCATTCCCACCCCTTGTCCCACAAGCTTCTTTTAGCCTTGTGGAGCAATGACCAGGAGATGTTATGGTGAACAGGGGTGACAACAGATCTTAGCTACTTCCTGTAGGAAAGGGACAATGACCAAGGGGTTAGCATCCCGCTTCTTTCTCTCAGAGAAGTTTGTAGGGAGTTCTGGTTTCAGGCAGGCAGAGGTCAGCAGTGGTCCCACATGTGTAGAATGTTCCTTCAGGAGGCACAAGGGGTAGGTGGTGTTTTTAGCCTTGGGAGGTGACCTGTTGGATGTTGGCCCTGCATACTGCTGAAACAAATGGGAGCAATTTTAGTTAGCTGCACATTGGCCGTGACAGGTCCTATCCAATACAATCCCTCCCTTTCCCCCTTCCCCACCCCCCCTGCCCCCGGCCACATGCATTTGGTAGTAGAGTCATAACATGCCTCAGGCTGAAAAGTATAGCTAACAAAAATCAGGCTTGATTGGGTTTTATCGTCGACTACCCAGTCTAGCATATTTGGGTAGCGAGTTTCTAAGCAAGGAGCAAAGGATGGCATCACAAGGTGTAATCCAACAATTTATGATAAGGCCTTTGTTTCCTTGCTGTGTGGGGAGCAGTAATTTTATGGTGCTTCTGTGACCCAGCAAGATCAGATGAGTTCTCCTCCTAGTACTAGTCTCGGATTTCGCTGGCACTCATAAAAAGACAAAAATAAGAATTATTAGATAAAACCAATGATTATCCAGAAATACTAGAGCATGTTATGTTAGGAGGTGATAAGAAAGAAAGATTAGTGTTAGGGAGAATTCAGCAGGGTGTTATCTGAATTCCTTGGAGCAGGTTGCTCAGCCAGGTCTGCTGACTTCTTGAGGGTGATCCTCAGGGGGTGTTTCTGGTCAGAGGTCACCTTCCACTCAGACTGGATGTCACTTGGCTGGTTGGCTGCCTTCACCTGGGAGTGGTGGATCCAGGTGTTTAGTCCTGCAACCTTAAGAGCTGTGGGGGTGGTTAATATGACTGGATAGGGTCCCTTCCAGGTAGGCTTGAGGGGCTCCTTTTTCCAATCCTTTACCCAAACCTGGTCTCCAGGTTTATAAAGATGTACAACTGTTCCTAGAGAGATGGGTAGTCAGTCAATAACCCACCTGTGGACCTCAAAGACAGTTTTTCCAAGACCTTGTAGTTGTTTCTGGATTTCTAAGTTCTCTATTTCCCCAAAATCTCCCTTTGGCCAAATTAAGGGAGTGGTTCTACCATATAGAATTTTAAAGGGAGAGAATCCTACCCTGGCCCTTAGGGTACAGCGTACCCACAGGAGTACAAGAGGCAAGATATCTGTCCAGGGTAAGGTTGTCTCTTAGCCATTCCTGATTTAGAGTCCGGTTCATGCGCTCCACTTTCCCTGAACTCTGAGGCCTGTAAGCTGTATGTAGATTCCATTTAATTCCTAAAGCCTTGGCTACCTGTTGACTATTTCTGGGTACAAAAGCTGGGCCATTATCGGACCCGATGGTCAGAGGCATTCCATGGAATTATATCCCTCAGGAATGCCTTAGTGACTTCTCTTGCTTTTTCAGTGCGAGTGGGATATGCCTCGACCCAACCTGAAAAGGTGCAAAGACTAGCAGGTATTTATTCCCTCTGCTAGGCCCTATTTCTGTAAAATCTACTTCTAAGTCCTCAAATGGAGCTTGCCCACAGTGCTGAACCCCTATTGGTCCCACAGGATCCTGTTTAGCATTGTTCTGAGCACAGAGGAGACAACACTGAGAAACTGAAGCACACAAGGAGGGTAGATGGGCAATTGGGTGGTACCTGCCTAACAAAGCTTCTAGGGCAGCCTTTCCTAAATGAGTGAGTTCATGCTGCTGGAGGACTACCTTATGGGCTAACTGTTCTGGAACATAGACCCTATGATCTGGGAGTATCCACCAGCCTTCC